GAGAAGAACATAAGCGATTACAAGACTACACCTTACAACGTTTAAAAAGACAGCTTGCTGTTTAAACATTGCCTTTAGGCATGGCTCACCGAAAGGTCTTCAACAGTCCTGAGAGCCAATTTTCCAGCGAAGGAGCGGACTATACTGGAGCCACTCTTTAAATGCCTCCAGGATTGTAATACCTTTTAACAATGCCTGCCCCCAAGTAACCCATACTTTAGAAAGAGATGCTAGGTGAGGTTCTCTTTCTTCTCCTTCCTCTTTAAGGGTGAAATGCTCTAAAAACTGACAGTTCTGAGAAATAGATTACACAGAAAAAATGTATTTACAAAGGCAAAAGTCAACGTCACTTACTGAATGCACCCATAAGCTTCCAGCTGTCCATACGAACAGTGAAATGCAGATATAAATAAGTTTTGTTTATTTAAATTTTCAAGATTAAATGCAAGTTTGCACAAAATATCTGGGCCCACACATCTATCTGAAACACTCAATTTGGATTCCCGAACAAATGCTTGAGACCTCTCACCATCTAACAGCAGGAGAATTTAAGTGCCAAAGCTGGTCCGTGACCTTAAATTACATTGCTTGTTCCTGCAGTCCAATGACAGCATAGGTCTTTCTGCTGATTGATGGTGGTTTGACTTTACACTTACTTGGGATAAAAAACAAAATTAAAAAAAACCCAACCCTTTGTGCATGTCTTTGTACACAAAGCCTTTGAAGCTGAACTCCCACATGGTATAAGCACCATAAGCAGCATTTGATTATTAGGGATTTTAAAGCATAGCAGCTTTTCAGGACTGGTAAAAAAACATTTCAACAAGTTGTGGTGCTTTCAGTCTGCCAGGAGACTGAAGGGGGACAGGACTTATTACAATATTATTAGATTCTGCCACTCAGAGCTCACTACGAGAGACAGCTGTAATAACGCCTCTTTCATGAATGTCACATGCAAAAACATCTCTGTAGAGCGTTCTACCCAAACCAATGTACCAGCAAAATCCATTATCACTGTTTAGCTGTGTTTCTGAACACAGATTGATCTACTTGTCTCACGTAAGCACCTTACACACCCCGGCGCTACCTGGGGACCTGACTGCAGCTAGAGCTCTTAAGCTTCAGCCCCGCTGCAGGGCTTACTTCCAAAAGCAGAGGGGGCATCTCCGGCACCTACTCACTCTGCACATACTCCTGTTAACAACTGCTTTGCCGTGCTCCCCTAACACCCCCAGAACAATCTGTACCACCACTCGCGTCCTGCACGGCTCGTCTCCTCATCTTTTCAGCATACCGATTAACTGACTTGCAATTCCCACAGCTTTCTAAGTTCCCCTGAACAAGAGGTTTCTGCTCCCTAGAAAGACCGCAATCACATGCCGATTTGGGGATCTAGAGGGTTCCTTTGTTTAAAAATCCAGCTGTGGCTGTACCCAGCAAAACAATTACTTCTCCAACTGAATACAGGGGGGTTTAAACCAGTTTTAAATGCCAGTCTATTGCCACCTTCATTAAAAGACTACAATAGCGGTTTGAAGGATAAATATCAATCAGAAGAGACCCACGTAAGTCAAAAAGGTTCATTAAAGTCCTTCCATGTTGTTTAGGCTCTTTAGAAATATTCAGTCATTACGAAAGGAGGGATTCTGGCTGCCAAATGACTTGCTGAAGGTTGCGCTGCTGAATTTCAGCCCAGTTGGCACGTAAGCAGCGCACGTGCAAGCTGCAACAGCAGTTTGTGCGATATGGAAGTCTGTCTGGCTGGGAACAGAAAGAATGATCAGGGATCCGAGAAGAACATCTGTCCCAAGGAAAAGCAAGCGAGATGCAAGTAGAATAGACAGCGTATCTGGAAGCATTTTAGAAGCTGACAACAAAATTGTTTAACAGAACTAGGGAGAAACTCCAGCGTCCAGATACGATGAATCGGATCTTGATGGCAATGGTAAGGAGGGAACTATTACTTAGGAGGAGGGGTTTTTATCGGTTTTTATTGGGAGGGTTTGTGCCCCAGGGAGTTTGAGAGACAGTCACTTGCACAAAGCCTATACGTGAATCTAGCCAGTTACTTCCAATGTGTAACGCAGAACTCGACACCACTAACTCAAACTCATGAAATGGTATTTCTTGATCTGTGCTTTGCAGGGCATTTTTCTTTAATAAATGTTGGTAGTTTCTTGGGTTTGTTTCTCCCTAATGACAGTGACACACAGCCAGCACATCGCTGAGCCGGCTCCCCCTGCGGCTGCTGGCCTTCAGGGACGGGGCTCCCGGCAGAGACCCCATTAGAGCACCGCTCCACCGGTCCACAGTTTGACCTTTTTTATTCTGTTGTCATTAGTCATCTGCTTCTACCTGGATCGGTACCGTAGGCCACGGGAAAGAAGTGAAAACCTATCAGAGACTAACCACTAGTTTGGTTTTTTCCTCTTTAACCAAGAAGTCAGCTGAACTCTGTTAAAGCAGCATAAGGCCACGATGACACTGAAAAATTGCTGAACCCTGTCTAAAATAACACTTTGGAGGTCATTACTACTGAGGAATTACTGTGGTGCTAGACACAGGGCATGAAATCTTGAAATAATGCCAGTAGAGACAAAGGTGCAGGTTTAAGTATCTATAGTAGGACAGGGATGAAGCAAGCAATTATGTGGACAACACTGGATGTTTCTCAGTATTTTTAGGAAGATTAAACTTCAGCAGCATGTAGCAGGATGAGATATTTCCGCGCACGTGCCTGTAACTTTATTTACTGAGCGATTTCAAAAGCAGGATCTCCTGTTACTTGCACTCATATTTGCTCGTGATACAGATTTCAACAGCCTGACAACTACCCTGAGAATGCTCTGGCCATCTCTCCACGTTATGTCTAACTGCTCATCTGTATTTTCGTCTCCCGCTGATGAACTTGTCTCAGGGTGCCAGGGAGAACAGAAGTCTTCTGTATGAATTTTCAACCTTCAGGAACTCTGGGTCTCCTGGAGTTGGTAACACTTGGATTTTCATCCTTTTGGAGATGAGGCAGAGGAGGAAAAGGAGGAAGAGTTTGAATTCACCTTGACTTCTCTTTGGCTTCAGCTGCCAAATATGTATAGAGTCATTATCAGAAAAGAAAAATTTGTTTGGGCCTCCACTGAGACTCAAGCAATGATATGACTTGAGGGGCAAAGGCACTGTCAGGATGCGTCACTATCCTGGAGGCACTAAAGCATCTCTATGCAGCCGCTCAGCCAGAAAAGCTGCTCAGATTGCTGCAGTCCTTTCAATGAGCTGAGCCCAAGGCAACATTTTAGTAGGGAACTGCCTCTTTAAAAATTAAAAGGACTTATTTTTGCATCATTTGACTTGGATTATTTTAAATGTGTTCCATTGTAGGTCACCTGTACTGCTGATAAAATAATGAATTTGCAACTGATTCAATTCAGATTAATTCCTTAAAAATACAGACAGCTTTATTGCATAGTTTCTTATGCAGACACACCAGAGCCTGTAGTACAGCTTCAAAAAACATGAAAGTGCGAGGGTTAGTTCTATTCTAGTACAGACAGGTGGTATGAACCTGCATAGATTCCCACAAGCATCTCAACAGCGACCGACAAAAAATGACTCCTTACTTTAGTCAAGGATTATCACCTGGTTGAAATGACACAAAATTAGCAAGAGAAACTTCACTTCATGTATTTAGTCTTGCTGTATCAAATTCAATCTACCCTTCGTGAGCCAGCTGGAGAGGTGACCTAAAAGCACAGTTACATCTAATTCCAAGAGAAAGTTGCCATCTCTTGGTCATGCTGTAGTGTAAGAGCTCATTGATGTTAAACCTGCTTGATCTTTTCCATTTGATCACCACTGTGTTAAAGGCAGCCAGCGCTAGCGAGGAGACCTAGGAGCGACACGTTGTAAGACATGCTGTTCCAAACTGAGAAGCTGGATGGGAAGAGGAAAGGAGCAGATCATCAGTGGCAATGGCAGAGTTGCTTCTTGCACCCATGCTGTCCTGGTGCCTAAACCACGACACATGCCTTTTCCAAAATAAGTTTGTACAGCATAAAAGAGAAAGCAAAAAAGTGCTTCTTGCCCCCCTGTATCAGAAAATGCTGCACAAGCCCACAGTGAGGATTTTTACATCATCACAAAGGCAAAAATTTTTTCCACTTTTTCTAATCCGACTGTGGTAAGTGCTGAACCTACGAACTGTAACATGCTCAGTCAGCACTGGTGCACTGCTTTCTGCTATTTAATAAAAGTGCTTTACCTTCTCTTGTAGGACTGTGTCTCATTTCACACAGTCCTCTAAAGCAGTCCTCCTTTTACATGCCTTTTCTGCACATTTGGGTGAACCTGACATTACGGATGCAGTCTCACCAGAAGCACATGACAACAAGAACACTTCCTTACTTTAACAGGAAACATCTCCTCTGGTACACTGGAATCACATTTAATTATTTTTTTTTCATCCAGCGTAGGATGGTCAGCGATCATCCTATAACCTGCTGGATATTTTGTTTGGAGGCAGGGAAAGCGGTTGGGCTACACAGAGGCCTCACTGAAAGATTCAGTAAGAACACTATGATAAGACTTAATGGCTATCATTCTGCCGAGATTGCCAGGAAGCCTCATGACTACTGGAAAGGCAGACAGGAATTAGTTGTAGTATTTAGGTATAAAAATCTAACAGAAGTTTACCTCAAGAAAAAAAAAGGAAAGAAAACAGACCTTGGAGATACTGCAGAAGACAAAAGAGCAAGAATTGAACAGCCAAGACATGGGGGGAACATATGGCTCTCTTTTTACCACAAATATTGGTAGAGAAATCTTTTCTCTTTTTTGAACCAGAAAACTTTTTCAGTGACAGTAGCAGAGTATCTTGAAGATTCTTATCTATTTTAATCAGGCTGTTTTAGCACCTGCTGACATCTCTCAGAGCTCAGGATTGGCTTAAACACATATGAAAAGGGCCCTGTGGCATGTATTCCTTGACAACAATCTGTTCTCCTCACCTCATAGAGTGTAATGATGCCATTTGTCTCATTTGGAGGCTTCCACTGAACATAGATCTTCTCTTCAAAAGGTCCTCCCTGGATGGATTCCAAGGGAACGGGTCCAGGAACTACAGAGGAAAAAAAGAAAAAAAATAAAAGAAAAACACCAAAAAAATTGTGTTAGAAGTTTCTACCAGCTTCAGCTGCACACGCATCAGAAGACACCAAAAGGCCACCAGACAGGAAGTTCAGAGTTGAAAATAAAACCCATAAAAATAACGTAATTTAAAAAACCTTCAAGGCATTACCATTACCCAAGGCAGTACCAATATGAAAGGCTTATTCTCAACTTTGGTTCAGACAAGACTACCCTGATCTAACCACTAAGTGATAAATAAAACCAGAATCCATGAAAATACGAAGCTAATTTCAGTCCGTCCTTATTCCAGTACAGCACGGCAGCAGTAGGGAATTTAATTTGTCCTCCTCCACCCACACAACAGCAAAGCTCTATCCACCTAAACAGCCAGACTGCACCTTGGCATAAAGATGCTACTGGGCTGCACACCTTTATCAATATCAAAGACTGATTTCCTTAGTAAAGTAACAATGTAAGATTTATAGTTCATTACGGCAACAAGGCCAGCCAAAAAAAGAAATCCACCTACTCCAGCAAAATTTTAATGCTGTGGAAGATAACTAACTAAACGCGCTCCCAAGCCTGTCTGATAAAAACCCTGCTCATTTTTCTGAAAGATCTGCCATCCTCTGATGTCCCCCCATATGATATACTGGACTGCGAGAGCCGCTTTCAGCTGAGAGAAACTTAAGACAGCAACTCCTTCCAGCTCTGGCAGGGGAAGAACGCTTCTTTTTTAACACATTAGACAGAATGAAGGCTTGTAGCCTACGAGAGTCCTTGGCCTGAAACAGCTCAGATGGGATAATAACACTTTAAAGCTTTCCATCAGTGCTTCTGGAAAACAATTCTTTTGTCTCAAGACTGGAAGAGGTAGCACCAAACGAATTTAGCTTCCGAGACGTATACAAAATTCTACGTCCGGAAGACCAGCATTGAGAAAAGCTACACTCGGGAAAGGATGACATTATACTTCTTTTCGGGACAGGGGTGTGGAAGCACAAGAAAAATCCACAAAAGCCAGGATTACATCTGCCCCTATGAGAAAGGAAGCTGCTCTGTGGGTCCTGGGTAGTTCAGACCACAACTTCTACAGACTTAAACCTACCGCTGTTCGGTGACTGTGTAGACTGGTGTTGGTCATTTCCGAGCACCTCAGGGAGCGCTGCCCTTTCAAGAACACACTGTGAAATGGAAATTATTTACACCTACAAATTCTACTTGCATAACACACACACACTGTACAGAAAAGCCATTTATAAGGCTGATTGGACAGAGCGTTATGTTGTTATTTACAACTTGAAAATATTAGTCTTCCCCCCCCAAAAACAAGCAAGCAAGCCAACCCAACGGAGCTTACCATCCTCCTCAGTCTGCACAACCAACTCCTCACTCTCCATTTTGCCCTCTGGGTTAGAGAGGGCTAACCTCAGCCTGATGGTCATGAAGGGCCGGAGACCTCGCAAGGTGTAGTGGGAAGAAGTTTGGATGAGTTCCTCTGCCTCAAATTTTTGCTGGTTAAACACATACTGGTACTGGACCGTGAGATTGTAGCTGTGGCAGCGGGTCACCGCATAACCAAAAGGCTCCCACTGCAACGTCAGCTGCCGCGAACGAATATCAACAACTTCTACGTTCTGTGGCCCATGGACAGGATCTGTGAAGCAAGCAAAGAAAAAAAAAAATAAAATAAATGATTTGACATTAAAAGAAGTCAGTCATCCATTACTATGCCTTCTTCCATATTGCCAGAGTATCTAAAAGCATGTTCTTGTCTTTACAAATTAACGTCAGCTCCACCAATGTACTCTGGCTCCTGAGTTTTCCCTGAAAATGCCCTGTCACAGGGCCCTGAAGAGTGGTCGTGCTCCCGATTCCTGCGAAACCTCAGTGAGTCCAACAAGGCTGGCGTGATTCCCATCAGTCAAGTAGTGTAAAAGCTGCACTTTCTTCACTCTTACCAAAAGGAAAAAAAAAAAAGCAGCTGATGGTCTGCTTGAAGTACCTTGGTGAGTCCAGCCCTAAGCGATGCAAACGCATAGGAGACTCCTGCCAGAGGAGGAGTGATCTTAGCTCCCAATTTAGCTACGCAGCCCCTACACCCTCCTGCCGACCCTAAACCCTTTCTGCTCTCAGGCTAAAGCATGAGAGTGTAAGAATCAAGACGAAGAGCCTGACTGCCAGACTTCCAACAACCCCAGCACTACTGCCCCCTCCACTTTTTAAACTCTTGCATGTTTTGGCAATGGGGCCCATGAGCACATCATGCCACTCCCTCAGTACGTTACCTGAGTCATCTCAACTTCACTCCAACAAAACTTTTACTTCAGATCGTATCAACGCCTTGGCCCCACCAAAGTTCCATTGCTCTTTATTATTCTTTCTACAGTATCTGAGGTACAGTTTGAATATTCATGTGTAGAAATCATTTTCACCTGCTGTTCCTTAATTTATTTTTAACAGCATAACTCAAATGCTCTGACTACAGACTCTGCCCTTTATATAAAATATAAATGCATGCACCGCTAGACATGCAGATATAAAGAATGAAGGATGAGTGAGTAAAATCAGTGTTCGAGATCTGTCAGATGGTAATAATACGACACATGTCATAGTTTGTTTATCTGACATTTCTTCAACTCATGTAGCTCGTTTGCTTTTTTTCTCAATATATAGCTAAGCAAGGTAATTAGAAAATACATAACTTCACATAAAGTTTCTTGATTTATAGCACAATTTAGTGCTTCGCCCACTTCTCATGTTCTCTCACGATTTTAACCTATGAAAGGAACAGAACATTTTCATGGAAACAAAAAAAAGTCACAAGGGCTCCCGAATACTAGTTACACTTCTTTGAAAGATAATTAAAGTGGAGAAAAAGCCTTCTAGTAATTCTTGAAAGGAAAGTACACACCAGCCATCCCGACTGCAGTCTACTAATGCATAAGCAGAAAATACGCTATACCTACCAGCATGTTCGGTGTTACTTCTAAAAAAACCCTAGGGACTGGCAACGGGGAAATAGCTACTTCTGAAAGGAACAGTATTCTGAATCTTTATATAGGTACACACACGCAAACGCTTTCCAAGTATGGTGGGTATTGAAGGACAAGGGGTCTAAAGCTAGCAGTTAGTTTAGGATTCTAGGTAAGTCATGTCGTTCCCTTAGCATCCAGGAAACACCTCTTAAATGACATTCTTTAGTACTGTGCATGTAAAAAAAAAAAATTAATTTAGAAACTAGAAAGTTTCTATGCATAAATATATACATATATACTTAGCATTAGGTGATCATCATTCCTTTACTATAAACCCATGAGAAGAAGTTTTCTGTAGGTGAATTGTATAGACAAGTAAGGTGAACAAAAGAATGGTTCTGTGAAACCCTCCAGCCTCTGCAACTGTAAAGGAAAGCACGAGCCTCCTTCCAAGATGCACTGAAAGGAAACAAGGAAAGCAAACCAAGAGCAGACGCTTGTCCTTCGGAACTCTCTACTACACCAAGTAATCAACTCCAGACCCCAAGGCGGAATGTGGCTGAGACACAGCAAAAACGTTTCACGGCAAGACAACGATGCAGCTGAAAGATGGCAATTAACCTCCATGTTAATGTTATAGTGGTTCTTTTTTTCAATTACAGTTATTTTCTTTAAGTCAGTCATGTTATGGAACGAATGAGTAATTAGAGGGTGTTTGGCTTATTGATGTCAGATGTGCTGACTTTATCAGTGGGTAAGGAACGACTCTGACCCAGCATCATCTCACCAAGTCCTGTGTCCAAAACTTGGACGATGGAAGACTACCTGCAGTTTTCAGCTTGCTTTCTCATTTTGGTCATATACACCCTTTCCTTTCTTACCCAAAATTGTAAGTCTTAGGAGCTGTCTTGTATAAACCAGTTTCTAATTCTAGTCAAAGTTTTACTGCAAAAGGTCCAAGACACATCCTGAGGCCTTTCTTTAGTTTTTCAACACAATCTTTTCAATAGAGTAACCGGCCTATTAACAGATTACTTTCTACAAAGCGAGAAACTAAAGTACAGATCCCAAACATAGTCCAGACCCCACAGCACAATCACAGAACATCCCCCATTCTCCCAAGGGCTATCTGTTCTGAGGCTGATAATCCTAAAATGTGAGATTTTTCCATTAAAAAAAATGAGATCACAATGCTGTAGATGACAGTGAAAGCAGAACAGGGGTGCAGGTTTCAGAAACACCCAGAGCCTGAGGAGTCTTGGCAGCACGTGCAGAGACTCAACTTCTAATGGCCTTCTAGATTTTTGAGCAAAGGAGGAATAAATAAGTAAGTAAAACTGTTGAAACTTTAGGTTCACAGAGGAAGAAACCAAACTGGAGTTAAATCAACAAATATAAGCTGGACCTGGAAACCTTCTCTCAGTTTCCACCTCCTTTTTCTGAAATGTCATTTTGTCATGTCTATATCATTTTGAAAACATTTTCCTGTTGCCAGGCTGTTTCCTCTGCAGCACAAGCCACTGAAACTCATTTTCAAAGATGAGATTTTGTACTCTTGTTTTTAAAGGGCAGTGGTCCTACTACCTTCTCCATTTAATTCCTTCCACATTTTAGCTTTGTAAGAACACAATATCCAAAAGGTTTGTAGTACCTATCCCTGGGACTCTACTGCCTAGAAATAATAATGACAAACATCACCTGTTTTTCATTATGATATAATGACTTATTTCCCCCCCAAAGAAACAAGAAAACTAAAAATGCTTATAATTGATCTACTATCTTCTAATAGTGGCGAATATTTGAAACTGGACAAATTACTCCATTTGTCTATTCCTGGAATTATAGCTTCAGAACAATGCAAGAAAAACGCTGAAAATTATTAACCTTGCACTTATCCAGTGTAAGAGAAGCTGCTAATAAGTATCTCAACTTCAGCTGTACAAAAATACCTACCAAAACAAGACAGAAACAGATGGGCCCAATTTGAATGCTCAGAGATCATCTACAAGAAGACATTGGTGTAACCTGCATCAACTGAAGTAAAATTTTCTAAGTGCCTTGAGCCCTTGGAAAAACCAAAGGAAATTCCTAAGAGGCAGGAGCAACGAATCGGCTGCCACCTGCCTATTAAAGCCGGTCTGGAACCCACGCAAAGGGAATTGCAGCCTCTGGGACTTCACTGTGCAAATGCTGTATATTTTTATTTCAGCCTAGTTGAACTACTAATTATGTTTTGAAAGTTCCCATCAAAATCAAGGGCTGAACAGTATTTTTTAATACCATACCTCCTGCTGATGCTTCGATACCTATCATTACTCCGGTCGGCTGCTGCAAACACTCGGCAGGCCAGGGACCTTTCTGAAGTGCTCCTGATGGACTGGCGGCCCGAATGGAACCACACTCTCGTCGGGGATCCTTCGGCTGTGCTGCCAGTCATTTTTGACCCAACAGTGACCTGCAACGTTCACAGATTGCATTTTCTGCTACCACAAGTTTAAAGAAAAGTTGACTTTTATGGCTGATTTTGCTCTTTCCTTATTGAAAGTTACAGATCTCGTTTTGTTCACCGTAGGCTTCTTGCTCAAGGTGAGCCGTAGAAAGGCAAGGTTGATTTAGATTATTAATAACAATTGTCTCCGCTTTATACTCCTCCATCAAGAGAAGACCAGAGAGGAGAGGAAGCGATGGCCAAACACTGGGGTTTGAACATGAAGCTCAAGTTGAGGAGTGAAGTTAAACGGAGACAATCAGCTGCTGCCCCCAGGTTAACCACCTACTGCAGGAGCCTAATTGCAAGAAATTGTTCCTGTCAGTAAAGACATGACATTGAGCAGAAGATGTCTGTACCTGTCTGAGGCCCCATGCCCGTGTCTCCTGACCCTATGGAGAGCAGGAGGCAGAGTTTATTAGCAGTGCAGGTGGCCACTGATTAAATTCTGTTTCCCAGCAGTAGGTTACAGAGACCGAGAATGCACAAAGGGAAGAAAAATGAGTGTGACAGGTACAGCAGCTTTCTGCGAGTCCTCAGCTGATGTTTTCAGATAAAGAAAGGGAAAATAGGTGAGAAGCTGATTCCTGCCTTCCCCCCAACATGCTCACACCTGAGCTCATCGGCCAGTCATGCCAACTAACATCTGGGCACTCCAGTAAGGTCCCCATCCCTTCCTCCTAGCCAGACTGGGAGGAGACAAGGAGAAAACTGGGTGCATTGGTAGTTGATGAGAAGACCAAAACTTGTGTTCGCCCAACCACCAGCATGGTACAACCTCTCTCTGTAGCCCAGAAAATATTTAAAGTCATTTTAATTTACACAATGTAAATTTGGTAGTATCACAGAATGGTTGAGAATTCATGGAATATTTCACTCTCACAATAAATTGAGACATTGGCCACTTTTCATGCAACAGCAACAAAGCTCCTAATGACAGTGAATCAGCAGTTAGGCTGTTTCCTTTGTGTTTTTCAAAGGCATTGCTCTTGTTCTACAGATGGAAAAACAAACAGTAATTTGTCTGACAATGATTTTACTCTACATATTAGACTAGAGCAAAAGCCTTCTCTAAGTCACCGTTATTTCCCATTCCTCCTCTTCCTCCTTAAATTTCCACAGGATGAAAGAAGTCGAGGGAAACACACCCACTATACAAAAACTTCACAAGATAAACAGAGCAAAGTCATT